ATAACCCAAAAAATCTTATAATCTTTGCAAATAAATAAATTATTAAAGTATCATATCAGGTTGTTTTCCTATCTCTGTAAACTGCTAATGATAACATATTTCAGAAGAAATAACAGTAATAAGCAGCAGCTGCAGAGCAATTACATCATTAAGAATCTTTAAGTACAATTCTATACATGGTACACTTAGATAAATTTTTTTGTACTTACACTTTTACAAAACCATAAACTGAAAGGACACTCAATACATTCAAGACTGACCACAGAAGCAAGAGAGGTATGAATAAAAAGACAACATGTTTCAGGTGATACAACATGACACAGAAAGTATGGAACTTTACCAGCCACTACCAGTTGCAGGCATGAACCTGACAGCGAGTTCCTATGAGAGGGCTAGAGTTACCCAACATCCAGGTTCTCCACAGTTTGTCTTGGTATAGCCTTAAGTTCACTGGCCAGGCTTACTTTTGTGACCTAAGAGTTCATGAGACAGGTCTTCTCCATCGAGGAAGTCATAAGGATGACTCACTTAGGCACATCTGCAAAGCCTTCAGTTCTCCTGAAGGCACTCAGGACCTCTAGAATGGCACCAGTGGCATACAGTTTGAACCACTGGGAAGGTGTGCCATCATGAAAGCAAGTTTAAGGAGCTAATGCTGGCAAATAGAAACCTGCCACTTTAGCAGCCTTGCAAAGCACTGTAGACAATAACAATACTGCAACTCACTCGAGCAAGAGAACACAGAGCTTTGCAGAAACGTGAGGTGTTTGTTTTTTAAACAGCCATTGTAATAAACACAGAATGAAACATTTTAATGGGCTACAGTTAATCATCTATAAAAACTGTAAGTTTGGCATGAATTTAAATTGTAAACTGGTAATAAATAATACAGTATCTTTCAGCACATTTTAAAATATATATTATGAAATAAATTTTAATTGTCAGAAAAGCTTTCAACCTTTTTGTTCAAAAACACATTTAACCAATCCTTTACGAACTGCAGCCAGTTTGCCTGCATGAAAATTTTGATTTACGAAGCCCTTACTGCTTCATGCAGAACACTCATTTGTATTAACGCTTATTTGTATTTCCTTCCCTTTTTTTTTCTTTCTAAGGTAGATTAAGTAAGAACTGAATTCACAAAAACTGTTCATGTAGCAACTACCTTTAATTATAAATTATTATGTTTGTAATTTGTTTTCATAATAGTTTATGTAGTAATCACATAAATATCCAAATTTCCACTGAAGTAAGCTACTCTGAAGACTGCAAGTACCACAGTCAGAGCAGTAGCTAGACTTAGATTTAAAATATTCTATCTGAATAAGAAGAGGTAGGTTCCATCTGGTCACGGAAACACCTCTCTATTAACTAGCCATTGCAATCTATCCATTAACATGAACCTGGCTAAATGTTATGCTCAGTGGGAATTAGAAGCAGCATGCTGCACTATTTATCCAAGGCAGTTAATTTTCAACCAGATGACTGAGGGCAGTGTGGCATACCCATCTTGGCACACCAGTATATCTCAAGACATAAAGGCTAATAGATAGTAAGTAATAAGATAGCTGAGTGGAGCAGGAAAGCCCTTTCTGCAACACACCCTTTGTCACAGAGATCCTCCCAGCTGATTTCCTGAGCTCCCTAGGCAAAAGCTGTGAGAGCACACACAGAGCTTCCTCTCTTCCCACATCCTGCGTGGTGAGAGAAATTACATCTATCAACTACTGTTCACAATGGCCCCAGTGACCCCTTGGCAACTAATGCAGGAGATGCAATGTCTCAGCATCATATTCCTTTCTGCTGTCCATGCCCTGAGGCCAGGATCTGGCTTCCAGACATTCTGGGCAGAGTTGTGATGACACAGGCCACCTCAATCTGTATCAAAACAGCCTTTTCCAGTGGGAACACTGTGAGAGTGCTGGGGAGAACCTCAAGAAATCCAACTGTTTTTAGCTGGATTATATATGAAGAATGGTGTGTTTCTGTTACTACCAATAGTAGGCAAGATCACCTGATGAATAGGAATCTCCTTCCAAAGGCATATTCCTGTGTACTGTCATTAGAAAAGCTTCATAAGGCTATGCTCTGTATAATTTCATTTCAGAAAGCATGCATAGCACAAGTAAGAAAACAATTTGTTAAAGACTACATGAAAACATTAGAGATGTTTATGTTTGAATACATTTCTAATCTTACATAAGCAGGTGGATTTAAATGCTTTAGAAAACTAGGAGTATTGCAGAGAAGACGACAAAAAAAAGTGTAAAAAAGAAGTTGGAAAGAGAGCACCATATGAAAATCATACTTAATTTAAACGTCTATTTAACAAGCTAATTAAATGCTTCATGATGTTACACTGAAATTTAAGTAAGCTACCTAGGAAGTCTGAAGTCAATAGCAAGAGGATTTTACTTGCAATTCTAACTATCTTTCAGAAGATATTCTAGCAATATAGCAACTAGCAACTGGAAAAGAAGAAAAGGCCTCAAGCTGTGCCAGGGGAGTTTCATCCCCTCTGGTCTATGAAATATTGAATGTGATACTGTAAGTAATTTTTAGATTTATTAGTACTCATTTATCATGACTATATTGTAGCTGTAAATCAGTTCTTAAATTGTATCATTATGTTGTACACTGTTGCTTTATGAAAGTGCAACACAAGATTTTAGCAAACAGTGCTGTATTTTTTTCATGTAGCTCCTTGATTGAACATATAATATCTTTAGGCCACAACGAAAACAAATATAATACAATATTATAGTGCAAGTATTCCTTTTATTGCAGGAATAGTATCTGTGGGATACACTGATCTGACCAAGGATTTCAAAATCACACTCTTAAAGTATCCAATGCATTTTCAACTAATCGATAGCTATGGTCTTCAGTGAGCTGCCCTGACAGTAAAAAAGATTCAGAACTTAATCTAATCTTAGTTATATTCAATCACACTATTCTGCTTGCTAACAGATTTATTTCTGAAAAATGCCACGATGTTCCTCAAGGATCAAAAAGCAAGAGAAGTTTATAAAACAGTACACTAAGAACTTTGGACAAATGCAACTGCTAGTCTGAACATGTGTAACACAACTATTTTGTGATTCAGTGTTGTAAATACAGTTTGTATTTTAAACCTTTAATAATTTTAGCTGCATACAAAAAAGAGAAGTAGTAGGTTAAATTATAGCACCTTGTGTGACATTTGTTTTAAAGAATACAAAGATTCCACCTTTTAAAAGTGAAAAAATTACAACTATTCTATTTCAAGTCCACTATGCACCTGTTGTTTACAAGGAAACTCAATTACGTGTAACGAAGATGTGCATAAATATCACAAATTTAAGGCACAAAATGGAATTTGAAAGTTAGAGATATAGCAAATCCTCGCTTTTTTAAATCAAATTACCTGATACACCAGAAAAAGGTGCAGCTACAAATTTCAAAAGAGCTGTATTACCATAGAATCATTGAAACTAAAAATGGAAACTGCCTATTCAAGTACATGGTTCAAACTCTTGTGAAATCTAGATGAAAACTTCCCAAGAAATTGTATGCATTGATAAGCACTACTGTGTCATTCCATAACAGAATTGATCTCATTAGCAGGATCTTTCTCCTGACATTCATTGGCTATTTACCTTGTTTCAAATTCATATAATCAGTTCCAGTTGCACCCTCACACTTAGAAAGCCTCTTCCTTTACATGTATTTGTCATATAAAAAAAATTATACATATTAACAACTCAATCTTTCTGACTTCTTTCTCACTTAAACTAATTATGGTTTTGTTCTGTAACTTTTCAGAAGATTGCCTCAATTCTTGAAGTACCCAAAAATATAAGACTGTACTCCAGATACCACCTCAGCCATCACAAGTATTCTGATTTCCAGCTGCCTAATGCAGCACATCTGCATATATATTCTTCTTTTGACATTAGTGATGCCAGAAGCAATTTTGCTGCCTATGTTATCAAAGCTGCTTACCACATTACAATTCAGTCTTCTCTCTCTCTCTCTCACTAAGTATCCAAGTTTCCTCAAATGCATTACCGTCTCTCTGAATCTTTTAGGCTCTGTCTAATTTGTTGAACCTTTCCCACTAAGGTATCATATAATGCAATATCATCTGTAACTTTCATTAATATACAGTAGCTCCTTCTTGCAGGTGATTGAAGACATTGAATAGAATTAGGTCAACACAGTGTAAACAGTTAGTGGAAAGGGAGCAATTAAAATTGCACAATGGGATGATTCAAAGCACAATTTCTATTTTAAGACGTTATTTCAAATATATTTTATCCCACAGAGCTATTTATAAGAAGTCAAATATCTCACTATAGCTACAGTTTCTAAATGCAAAACTGAGATTTTTCTGCATACATAATTTGTGTAGAATAGCAAACACGATGATAATCAGACTTCCTCTGCAAATGAGGCCCATTCTAGCTACTTATCAGAGAAACGTAGGCACATCGTCTGCTCCTCAGCAAAAACTTTTAAACACTCAATTTGATATCTGTTATTCTACGTATCTGTAAAACTACAAATGAAAATACAGTGAGATCCAAATTTGCACTGACAATCAAGGATTCAGCTGCTATCCAAAGTCCTACTGTAATTCAAAAATTGTTGAACACTGTGCTACAGTACTTATAACAGGAAAGATATTCTTTAATATAAAGCTTAAAAAACATTCAAGCCGCCTAGACTATAACAACCACAATTACCCAATTTACGCTCTGCTGTTTTCCAGAAGACACACTTTCTGTACAACTTATCAACTCTCCTTCTGTTCTTGATGATGACTACAGGTCATAACACAACTTTCTGAACAGAAGGCACAGTAGCCAACTATTCCAACACTTAAAGCTATTTGTGAACCTATTGAAAATAAGAAAATAATTTGTTTGAAAAATTAAACAACTAAAAACCAAAGTGAAACCGAGGATGAAAAGGTAGGTCTGAAAATATATCAATTGTGAAAATAATAGAGTCCATGCTATTTTATGCACAGTTGTTTATTCTTGTTCCATGTTTTAAAACTTGGACTCAGAAAAATCACAGGAAGTACTGAGGTTTTACCCTCCTTTTTGTTTTCCACCAAAAGCACCATAGTTACACATCTTGATTCAATCGTCCTTTTCCACAATCACTTCTCCATGAAGCACCCTTCTTCTCTGCCGCAGCATGTGGAAGTAGAGTTGTGGAAATACTTGATAAAAGCATAAAAGAAAGCAAATTAGATGACAAAATTCAACAGATCACATAAAACACAATTTTGCAGAATGAGTAAAAATTATGGCACGCGGTGCTGCAGTTGGTTAAGGTAAATAATAACAAGTCATTAATATTGCAGTGTATTACAAAACAATAATTACTCAAAAGTCAGACAAGGTCCCCCTAATATATACCCTGTGTTCAAGGACCCTTGCTTCAACACTTTCTTTCTAGAAACAGGACTTAATCACATTTGGTCAGTGCCTGAAGCATTCAAATGTGTGCTAAGGTAAGCATGTTTGAGTTAAGACTTTGAGGATACAAATTTAACCTACTTGTTCAAGTCTCAAGTGAGGAGATCCCTCTCTCCTGGCCCTCTGTCATCTATTATATTACTGTCCTGATGACAGATTTGATTCTTCTACTTATTGGCTAGAAAACCGGATTTATTCCTGAAACATTAAGTTATCTAAACAGCTGTAAAACCATTAATAAGTTATGACAGCTTAGGTCATTTTTTACTCACATCAATCTCACTTGCTGGCCTTCATGATTTCTTGTGACAAAAAATTTCACAGTGTATGTACATATTATGGAAGTCTATGCTTAAGGTCTCGTTTTCCCTTTATGAATGCAGATCACAGACATTTTAACTTCAGTTTTCCTCCTTCTCAGTTTCTCTCTTTAACCTGCTACCTTGTTTCTAACCTCAATGTACAGATTATCCAAAATATTCTATTATATATTCTGTTAGTAATGTTATCTAAAATGTTACATATTCCTAGTTTGATCTAGCCCCATTCATGGCACTCTTTCTGAATCAGTTTGCTTTCTCCTTGTCTCCACTGCACAGGTACCTGCATAGGAAGAGAAAGACAGATAGTCTCTCTACTCTTAGCTTAGTTCAGCCAGTTGATCTGTGGCTTCTGGTATCCATTAAGCACAAGGACAAACCGATTAAACCAATGACTGAAGATGCTCTGAGAGGTTTGAGGGGCAGGGAGAGAAGGGATGATTTCTGTCAAAATGAAATCTTGGAGAATATAATTTCAAGTTTTTCCCAAGCATGCGTGAAATGTGATTTTTCAGAGATAAATGAGCATTAGTAGCAATAACAACACAGCAAATCTCTGGTACTACTTGCAGGACCATTTTTAAGCCATTGCTTCAAAGTGGCTGAGGCACTGGAAGTCTCAGTAACACAGTTACAGACATTTCTGCGTGTAAGCAAAAAGTTTTTTTACTTTGTACAAGTCTTAGAAATGCTTTTAGCATTTTCATTGAAATTTTTGACAGCTTATGTGCTGAGACAGATAACAGGACAGAAAATTTCAGTCTAACCAATTAAAGCATAGCAAAGCTTGGAACAACAGAAAGCAGGCTTTTACAGTAGAAAATGTTCAGCAAATTTTGCTAATGACTGATAATATTAAGCTGCTAAAATGTTTATACAGTTAAATAATACTTACATGGCACATAGGAGAACATGACAATAATTAGGAAGTAATAGTAGTCAAAGGAGACATTATATTTGTTGGGAAGTCTCAGTGAAAACATTCCTGTTTTCTTCACATAGGGTAAAGCAGCATATATGGTTAGCAGTTCACCTGCAACTCCAGCAGGATACAAAATGATAAAAAAGTTGTATCTGCATTAAAAAGTAAAAAAATACTTTGTGAGAAACACTCCACGAATTTAAAATTTTCTCTTGTTATTATTAGTGGCACAGAAGTGTATTACAGTAGTTCCTGCACCAAAATCAAAGACCACACCCTGACTTGGCACAGAACACCAGTTTCATTTACTTTGGAGAGAGATGCTTAGATTTACAGAGCATGCGTTCCTCAGTGCTTTTATTTAAAACAGTGAAGTATCAGGTATCAGAGTGTTTGTATGTCTTTATAATAAAACAATCCTTAAACTTGTAGTCTCCAATAATGATTTTTTTTACATGTACTGATCTTGCTCCTGTTGTCATTTGACAGGATTCAGACCAGGACTGAATCCCAAATTCAGATGATCTTACATATTTTCATCACAGTGCATGCACACTCGGCCAACTGTATGTATTTTAAATTATTTGAAGATCATGAAAACACTGAGAAACATCAGCCTGTTAAACTTGCTACCACATGGGAAATTCAAATAATACTACATTTACCACTAATGAAAATCGGAATAAAAAAAATAAAAGAAAATGGCAGTGCCAGAGACTCATCAGATCCATTTTAAAGGGAGAACAAGATGTTCAAATCAAAGGCAAAGTTTAAAGAAAATGTGGTTTGAATGGCCATAGGCCACATAGGCACTGACAAAATGAAAAACTGTAACCAAAAGGCTTTGTGCTGTCCTTACACACAGTGCAACATGGATATGCAGGTTCTCCTAAGGAAAAATTCTCCAGTTCATGCAGGGAACAGCAATGACAGCTGTTGGACAGAGAGAAAGGCACAATGTGCACTCCCTGACCAAAAGAGATGAGATCCAAAACAGCAGCAACTAAACATGAAACCCTCCTAGAAGTAAATGGGCTTGCAGATCAGAGTAGAGATTAGGGAAATCACAGAATGGGTCAAGTTAGAGGAGATCATAGTGGGTCATCTGGTCCAACTTTTCTGCTCAAGCAGGGTCGTCCCAGAGCACGTGGCAAAGGATTGTGTCCACACAGTTCTTGCATATCTCCAGTAATGGAGACTCCACAACCTCTCTGGGCAACCCATTGCAGTGCTCAGTCACCTTCACAGCAAAGAAGTTCTTCCTAATATTCAGGTGGAACTTTCTGTGCATCAGTTTCTGTCCATGGCCTCTTGCCCTATTGCTTGGCACCATTGGGAATATTGTAGATTAGGGGAGGTATTAGAAGGAACTGATGCAATGACTTACACACAGTGTGTCTCTATGCAGTTAAAAAAAACCCAGAAATTCTGAACTAAAATTTGAAGCATACAAATTCCATTAACAACAGACGGGAGAATCTTTTACAATTATAAGCTAAAAATCAAGAAATTCCAGCTCTCTTGGAGCACTGAATTTATGTCCAGTTGTGCTGTTTGTTTATCCATAAATCTTGACATGATATTTTAGACTCTATGAAAAGACAACACATTTTCAAGTGTTTTGTTTATAATATATTTCACCATATATCTCTGCTGTTGGAATATCGATTTTCCCTACTGTCTATATTAAGGAAACAAGATCTTGTCATTCAAGACACACTGACCTGATGGCAAAAAGTATATCTGTCAATGGATGCTTACTTCTTCCTGAAGCCTATATAAAAAACTATTAATGACAGCCAACCTGATTATTTTTAAATTTGTCATTTAGTTCTTAAACATAACCAAGTCTATCACCTTAGGTACTAGAAAAATACAACATATTATAGGAATGGACATAAATATCAAACATATCAAAGAAGTATATTAGAAGCATCAAAACTGAATTTTCTATAAAACAAAAATGAAGGAAAGTAATAAACTCTTTTAAATAAGAGTCACCTGCACTGAATGTAGGTTAGATATTTTCCTTCTAACTAACAATCCTAAGTCTGTCTTACATGTATTTTAAAAATAATGAATACAGAGAATACTCTTCTAGTCTCCTGATAAACAGGCAGTCTCCGTAATATATGTGATCTAGTGGCCAACCCTAGGTATGCTTCAAAATCCAAATAGTTTTGACATGGAATACACTTTTTATGTGTGCTAAACTAAGTCAGTAATTAACTTTACTACATGGATATAATCTTACGAAAGCTCTGATAAAGCAGAACTTCATATAAAGTAATAATATGCACACAGATTGAGTGACAACAATGACCACGTTTTCAAAGAACTGACATCCACAAAGACTAGCATAGCTGCTTAATTTTGGGCACAGTATTCAAAAGCATCTTAGAGAGTCAAACTTAAGTTAAAAGATGACTCCAAAAATAAAAAAAAAAAAATTAAAAGTAAGTGAAAGCAGAGCTCAAACTGTGAGGCAAAGAAAGCAAAGAACAAATCACACCCCAAACATCTCAGCTAAAATACTTTTAACATTTAAAACTAAGCAACGATAATCCCAAGTACAGAAAGCAACCAACTTGCACTTTGCTGACACATAATGAAAGCTCAGAATTCTGCTCTCCTGAGTATTAGTTCAGCATGCGTGAAACTAACATGCACAGAACCATGAGAAACTGAAGTGCAAGATGTCTCCACCTGGCCCATTTAATGAAGTATGGCAAATGGTTGAGCAGGTTGAATGTGTAGAAGGAATATCGAGTAATCTCTGTCACAGTCCATACCACCAGAAAAAGAATAACGCTCTCCTCATTCTGGATCTGCAGAAGTATAAAGAACCAACATTTTCTTTATCCTTAAGCCTCTTTTCTGTGCAAATGCAACAGACTTCTCTCTAAGATTCATGGAACAGAACTAACATGTTGTAGAAAAAGAAAATTTTGTCATAAAAGTGATTTGCTGAAACCATTACCAGGTACAGTCCATTATCAAATGTATTTACTAACAGACATTTTGCAAACTGAACAATCTTTATCTATTATGCAAATATCAAATATAAAACCCTATAATTATGCTTATTCCTCCTCTTTGTTCTCTACCTATAGTTTCACTACACTAACGGCCCCTCTCTTTTATTTGTGGTTGACTTGTTTATTTTCTTAGTCCTCAAAACAGCAAGAACAAAACAATGCTACAGAAGATATGTACTTTTCATAATCAGTTTTTAACCATCCTGCATTTCACTACTCTGTCTCCCAGACTTTCTCTTACTTTTTATCTTGCTTCTTCATCACTATATAATGCACATCTCCATGAAACTTTAGATGAAAGGAATTGCTTTGTATAATCTGCTAACTGAAACTTGGTCACAAAAGATCAAGTTTGGCAGACTTCAGAGAGCTCTAAGATAGTTAAGTAGGTGGATCACAGATGGCTCATTAAAGGAAGAGTAGTTGGTAGATCAGGAGCTTTGGGTAAACCCACTCAACAATCCTGTTTAAGTTCTGAGTCATTAAACTGCCTCATCAGTAGGTAGCACATCTACTTTTTCAAAACATCGCTCTTTTTCACTCTGAGTGAACAAATAAACAAAAGTCCCCAAATACAGAGAAGGCACCTGGGGATCTATTACAAACACTACCTTCTGAAAGGAAGAATTACATGCAAGTAATTTCTTTTCTTTAAGTGGGAGGAATTTTGTAATACGCTTCCATGCCTGAAGGCTGAAAAGCTCCAGGGATGTCTGTGAAATAAAATAAAGTAACACAAGTTTTGTCAAAATTACAAAAAAGGGAAATGGTTTTTTAAAATAAAATCCAACACAGTGACAAAGCTTACTATTATCTCCAAGATGCTCAAAATCCACAACTCTGTCAAAAGTCAAGAAGAATGGTAAGTGCTCACAAAATCACCCCCTAAAATGTGTGTGTTAGAGAAGGTGGATTTCACCAACATCACAGAAAAAATGGGGATATAAAAATAGTACCAAAGTCACAAACAAAATAGGAACAACTGAAATGCAAAGACATCCAAACTAAGAAGCAAAAGTAAAGACAGAATTAGGCTGTTCTTTCCCTCATGAAATTAGAGACAAACATAGATAACCCAAGCTTGGATTCATGTCACAGTGCTAAATCCAAGCTGAAGAGCTTTTAAGTAAGTATGCAGAGAATTTCTATCTGCTGCCTTGCAAATCTCCAGTCAAGTGGAGAGATCTGGGTCTGGCTATTATCACTGACATGCCTCTCACCACCTAAAGTGACCCTGAACATTCATGCCTGCTAAGCAATAACAGCATGAAATACAATCAGACATACATTCGCATGTATTTTTTCTTGGACACAGCTTGACTTACAGTACTGTAGATAGAGGAAATAAAATAAAATAAATTACTGGATATGCTAAAGATCTAATCCACTGCAGATAATAAAAATGGCAAAATGCAGTGCTATAGTTCAGCTTCTATGTAAATATTCAATATAAAAACCTTGTTAATCTCTGAGACATTTTCAAAAAAAAAAAAAGCTATGAAAAGCCTAGTCCATGTTAAGAAAAGCAACAGTAAAGCAAAAGATGCAGTGTAGAAAATTAGTTCTCCGTGAACTGAAACAAAGCGATTTGGTAACTGAGGCAGGTGCTAGGATAACCCATTTGCAGAAAGGCCTATGCCATCTGCTGGTGAGACAGTTTAATGGCTCAGCTTTTCGAGTTCTGAAGAAACTCAGGAGCACAAAATCCTTCACTTAGTTTTTACACACCTTTCACAGAAAGCAGACTTCAGAAACTGACCCGAATGTCCTAACTACTAGCTGTAAGCAGTCTGCTTCTTTCATTCTGCTAACGAACCACTAGCCTTACCATAGCCACCTACAGCAGGGCAAACAAACCATAGTCATTTATACAGGACCTGAACTGCCACTGTGGAATGCTGGGTATGAATTTACGCATGTCATCAACTGTTAATACCACCATAACATTTAAATTCTGAGATAGTTTCTAAAATCAACTGCAAAATCACAACCATGTTTATCCAAGTAAATTCAATATGAGATAGCAATTTAAAGACATAAATTTATATTCTATTTAGATTAATTCTGCAAGTGCTAATTAAATTTTTTGAAAGGGAACTGGTAACACTGTGGTAGATTTGCTGCTAAATAACAGTCACTGATCTCGCCTAGGCAGACCACAGCCAGCACAATGCCAAAGACACTGCTGATTCACAGGTAAGACCTAGACTCAGTCTCCTGGGAAGAAGCACATAAATTCCATTTTCTAACTCCAACTTCCAAGATTGCACTCGAGTATGTAAGCATACTCATTAAGGATTACCACTTGTTTTTAAATTGGTCTTCCTTGTGATATGAGAACTGTATTAATAGCTTCTCCTTAAAAACAATCAAAACATAACTTGCTTATGCACCTACCTGTTTTATACTATGTGCAATGAACCACACCATGAAGATTCTTGAACTCACTTGGACCCCAGTCACAAGCACAGATGTGCGAACTATTCCTTAAAAAGAGAAACATGTTATCTCTGTTCCACAATTCATGTTGTAACTACTTATAGGAGAAACTAAAACAAAGAACTCACCAACTGCACAGTGGACTACCTGTAAATAAAAATAAGTTAGAGGTTACTGATGTGCAGCATGTCACTAGCTACACTATAAGCATGGCCTTTTGATATTGATATAAAGCTAGGCTTAATTCTGAAGGGAAGGTTCTTTTGCCTCCAACTAACAGTCTTTAAAAGAAATTCACGGCCGAACCCTGGCAACCAATGGGCTCAGGATTTCAGCTGTGCAAACACATGAAAGACATTTAATTTCAAAACTAATTGTATATATCAGACAATTAGATATTTACAAAGCATTTCATTTTCAACTAGTAAGCTTCCCTTCCATTACCTTATTCAAAGAACAATCTTACAGGACAGAATTTTACTATATACAGCTGTTGACATGATTTTAATAGTTTGAACTAGAGGTGTTATAGGCAGATTGAGGAAAAAAGTTAAAATGTAGATAGGCACTCTTTGTTGTGCCTAGGAAAGAACTGCAAGTGCTCAGTAATCCCAACAGTTTCCTTCCATAGATGTACATGAATCCGGTCCAGAAATGAGCAGAAGCAGAAAAGGCACAAAGGATACTAAGTCCAGTATAAGGAATAATAAGTAAACTATAATCTCTGGAGATGGTGGTGAAATACCTACTATGCTAGAGGGTTGATCTGCTGGCTGGAATGCTTTTGAAATTTTGCTTTTTTCATTCAAGATTCTCAAATAAAAGCAGTTGCCAGGCACTGTTTGATTTAAAGAAATACTAGAATTAAGTTTGAAAAAAATGTGCCTACTTGTTTCAAGTAATCACCTTGGCCCCCCTTCATTAAATAATAAAAAGCCTTCATGAAATAATAAAGTTAAAAGGACTTTTAGTACTAAAATAATACTTTGATTTTAAATTCAGGATAATAATGTGTTTTGCCTATGATATGCAGTATCCAGTAAAGCAAACTAATGTTTAAAATTTACCTCAAGCAAAGCAAATGTCTGGAAAAATTTAAGCGTCTTTTGAACGCTTCTGAATAAGCCTCTATGTGTTCCTTTCTGTATATAAAACCGCACCATGGCAATACCTAATACCAGCCACCTACAAAAGAAAGAGAATGGATACATTTCAAATTAGAATTCTAAAAATATCCATCCACCATAAATAATTTAGTAGAGTATTTTTCTTTACAGAACATCTTTGCTTCTTCACTTGTCAATGTTCTGAGATCATAAAAAATATCTTTAGACATAAATATTATAATGTTATGTAAACATTACACTCTTATCTCTTTACTTGGAAAAGGATGGAGAATGACTTGCTACCTTTAGAGGATTGACTTGAATTGAGGGAACCCCCCAAAACCACCCGTCCATCTGACTATTCACTAGTAGGGACTACATATTTTTACTATTAAATCCTCATGCATCTCTACCGCAAATTACTGTTATTTGAAAATACACAACGAACTTGGCACTGAAGCCACTGTTTGGGTGGCAGGTTTGAATGAGTAAAGGACCAGAACCTACGCACGTCAGTTTTACATTTTTCACAGCCTCTCAACTCATCAATTTCGGGACTGAGCAGTGATCCGAATGCTTCTGTTTGTGATTGTCCAACTGAAGTTACCATTACTATCATGTTTTCAATAGTGTCGGGAAGTGATCTTTAAAAATCAGGTGGCAAAGTGGTAAAAGGTGGGTGTTCTATGCTCCTGGCTTCCAGAGGCAGGTATATTTAACTAGCACATTTGAGGATGCCGGAATTTTTTTTTTTTTGTTGAGGGGGGGGAAGCTGAAAAATGATGCCAACTAATACCCCTTCCAATGTAAAAGAAAGAGAGTAACAGTATCTTTTAATCATACTAGAATTTGATACAAAACTTAAATTGAATGGAAATTGAGATTACAGAAAAGTAAACTTCTAAACTGTGGTGGATTGATTCCCACCGTCAGCCCAAACTCTGTACAATAACCCAAGGCATGTGCAATTCCTTCCACATAATAAATCTGTATTTATATAATTAGGATTTTCAAAAGAGTGTACTATACATTCCTTAATCATAGAATCATAGAATGATTTGAGTTGGAAAGGACTTTAAAGTTCACCTACTTCCAACCCTCCTGCCGTGGGCAGGGACACCTTCCCCTGGACCAGGTTGCTCTGAGCCCCATCCAACCTGGCCTTGGACACTTCCAAGGATGGGGCAAACACGGATTCTTTGGGCAATGTGTGCAAATGCCTCACCACCTCCACAGTAAAGGATTTCTTCCTAATATATAATATAAACCTGCCTTCTTCCAGTTTAAAGCCATTCCCCCTCGTCCTATCACTATAGGTCCTCGTGAAAAGTCCCTCTCCAGCTTTCCTATAGGCTCCCTTCAGGTAACAAAAGGTCTCAGTAATGTCACCCCGGAGCCTTCTCCTCTCCAGACTGGACAAGCTCAACTCTCTCAACCTCTCAGACCTACACCACATTCATAAGACATCAGACTAGCAAGATGACTCAAAACTTTCCACACAGACTAAAGAAAGTACAAAAATTCCTTAATATAGACACAGACATAACCAGAGCTATGGATGGCTATTTTGAGAGGTAAAAATAAACCCCCAAAATTATAACAGTTTTAGTTTAACTTCTCGTCTGATGATACTGGGAAAAATTACTGTGTTCTTTCATTCTCCATAGGTCATAGCAAGCACGCTGTACAGTGACATGAGCTCTGGCTAAGGAAGGGCCCAAGTGACAAAGCAGAGGTGTCTGAGAAATACTCAGAGGCAGATTCAGAGAGCACATAAACATTCAGAGAAATACCTACGTAAACATTTGGATAAATATTTAACTCATCTGCCATTCCTATACTCCTCTCTAAGCATAAGGTATTGGCTAATACTGGAAACGGGGCACCAGGAAATACTAATCTTTTTGTCAGTGGCGCTGTGCTGTAACAGTGTGAGAGTCGCGTGGATCGTGACAGGCCCCGTTCACCTTGGATGGCACGTACTTCAGTATCAGCCCCTTAACAACTCTTACGCAAGGTGGCTACTGCTATGCAGTCACTTGGCGTGGCCCATTCCAGCACTTCATGACAGCATTTCAAACTCACATAGTTAGTCAGGCTTACCCACATGGTAGGAATGATTCCCCTCCTTGATCCCTTCTACTTTAAGCCCACGAATCCGATCTGCCAGAGCTCCAAAATTTTCCCCTGCTAGTGCTGCTTAGATTTTATAATGGATTTTAAATAGGAGGGGATTTTTTCAGGTAGTCTCCCACCATTGTGGAAATGAGGAATTACTGAAATATCACATGTAGTTCTCCATAGTAAAGCTGCTCTGTTTTATAGGGAAGAGTTTAACAAGAAAAGGGTGACAGCGAGTTTACATCCAGCTGGCAGCATGAATGGTGACAGCAACAACTCTGTCCTAGCCCTAGACTGAGAAGTCATAATACATCTTACCTAACAAGACATTTTATGTATCTTGTTCCATAACCAAAACATTGCAGAGAGAAGTAATCTTGGACTACACTCAGAAGCAAAGACTGCAAATACATTTTTCTTAAATAAATTTTTATGTGGACATGCATTTCTGTAGGTGAATTTATTTAGGTGTCAGTGGCTTTGACTTTGGATCTCAGGAAAGCCCTTGTACTCAGTACTGCATATCACAAGGAAATGGAAAACACTTCCTAAAATAAAGGTAGCATTTCCAGTTCGGGCGTCAGTAAGACTGGGTATTCATCTGTCACTTTAGTCTCTTAAACCTGTGTTAGATAATGCTGTTATGCATTAGTTTGTTAAAACTCTGGAAACACTTTGCTATGTTGCACTGTCTGGACAACTGGACAAATATGCTGTTCTAGCTACTTATTTATCCTGGGTAGTACCTTTGTTAAATATTGCTCTATTTCCTAAGTTTATTTTTTCTCTTAAATTGTACCCATAAAAGATTATAAGAATTTGTTCCTCTCTCTTTTTTTTTTTTCCCCTTCATTTCCACATAAAATATCCAATTTTGCATGTCTTAATCCTTTTTGGTAAGAATGGCAGATGGGAGAGAAGGAAGTGGGAGATACTGAAGCTGCACCTTAGGTCAAAACTAATATGGTTCAATAATCTTTTAGAGACAAATAAACGTCCGTGGCAAGAGTCAGTGTCCATTAGCAAATTCACACATGGAGCACAAGTCTGGGAATTCAATGAGGCAACTGTAACCTGCCAGCTAGAAAAAAACTACGTTTATTAAAAGCACTTTTCAAAAGGTGCTGCAGCAATATATGAACAGACTCAAATATATGCTCAAGATTCAAAGATGATAGAGAGAAGAAAGCCATTAGGATCATACTCCTGGCTTTCTCCATCAGTACATGAACTCCTGCTTCAACTACAGCATGTCAGTTTTGCACTATGGAATTCAAAGGACAGAGAGTTCAATCACTGGTAACCAAAGTAAAACTGTTCTAATGAATATGATACTAGAAGTTATAAAATGGTTCATTCCTAGCTTTCTTTTAAGCATGTGGAAATTATAGGTTGGAGGTGTTTTCCCCCAATAATTAGTGAACAGGGCAAATTTTCATTAAATGGAAATATGTGCGTCAAGCACTAATAGCATAAACCTGAGTGTTCTTATGATCTGTTCCACTTTCCTTAGAGCAAAGCCTCGCAGCACAAGCTCAAATGAATTCCCTGGGCTACTGCAACGCTTTCCCCTCCACCCGCTCATCACCAGCGACCACCGGTTCTGCGCGCTGCGCTGTGTCCCCTCCGGGAGTCGGGGTGGGCTTTGCTTGCCAGAGTCGGGGCTCACGGAACCGAAGGCGCTGCCCCACGCGGGACCCCGGGGCGTGAAGCTCCCGGCGGCACCGAGGGGCGCTTTCGCCTTCCCATCCGGAGGCGGGCGGCGGCGGCGGCTGTGCCGAGGGACGCGTCATCCCGCCCGGCATTCCGGTGCCGGCTATACTTAACCTCGGCGGCGGGCGCCGGCGGCCGGCAGCGCTGCACCGTATTAGGCAATGCCCGGCGGGCCAGGGTAGCCCCGGTCCCGGCGGCTCTCCCGCATCCCCGCTCTCCCGCCCCGTAGCCCCCCGGGCGCGCCGCGCCCCCGCCGCGCTGCCCCGGCCCCGCCGCTCCGCGCCCCGCCGAGCCGCCGCGCTGCCGCCCGCGCCCGCTCACCCCGCGGTCATGGCGACGTTGTAGAAGATGAGCCAGGCCGTGGCTAGGGCGCCCAGCTTCCGCTTCTTGCCCTTCTCTTTCTCCTCCACCGCACCGTTACCGGCTCCGTCCTCCTCGCTGGACGCCATGGTTGCCCCGGCCGGGCGCGCACGGCGGGAGGAGGGGCTCCCTCCGCGGCGTGGCTCGGCCGCTGACAGCCGGACCCGCGCTGTCTCTCACCCCATCTGTCTTCCCCGAGGCCGCTGCCGCCGCCAGCTGCTCACATGGCCCTGCACGCTCCTCCCTCCGCCCCGTGGGGCTCCCCGGGTCAGCCAGACCCGGTGGGGGCGGGCGAGCCTCCATCGGGAGAGAGATCCTTGTGGCGTGGTACCCGGCCTCAGGCGGCAGCAGCGGGCATAGCCCACCCCAGCCAAAGTGACAGAAAATAGTGAAGTTCATGGAAACACAGAAATGTGTGTCTGAGGTTGAACATCTGGGAGTCTGCTCAGAGACCGAGTGGTGGGAATATGCCCAAGGTCCCCCTCTCAGAGGCCAAACAGGGTGACCTGCCAGGGTTGACCTCGGGGAGAGAACACCTCCTAGGCTGGTAGATTTCCATAAATACCATCCTCAGAATATGAGGAACAGTAAGGCCCACACCTGAGAAGGGGGAGATTTCTTCCAAGGGACTGAAGAGCACCCAGCTGGCAGACTGAAAGATGACATTTGAATATGCATGTTCCCTTGTAACTCTGCTCTCTGTGCACACCCACAGGGAAGCTAAGCCAGCACAGGGAGACTGAAGGGACTGTCTCTGGAAGGGGACAGCCTCACCCTGAGCTAAGCTGATGTGACATGACCCTTCAAAGGTGTTGTTGCACCTGCTATCATGACACCTGTCTCCGTCTGTACTAGCCTGGGGATGCCATTCGCTACTTGGGCAGTGTACATGTAGCCACAGGCTCCTCATTTCTGCAGCTAAGCATGATGACCATGGCCAACTTAGCTCAAACACCACAAACACAGCAATTTACTGACAGAAGAATTCCAAAACTGGGTCAGGATATTTTTGAAATGCTACTTGGTCAGTCCTAAAGAATTTCAAGAGTCCAAGTCTCTCTGCTTTAGGATGGAGTAGGTTATGTCAATGTTAAAAACATTAGATGGGCTCAGTTTGAGGGCCTTCACAGAAAATATGTTCCATGCAAAAACTAAGTCTCCCCCTCCTTACAAAAGCACACAAGCAGATCTTCATCTTTCAGCCTTAAAATATATACCCAATGGCAACAGCAAATATATGTGTATGCAAAATGAATACTTGGCAAAACAGCACAATATCTATGAGAGTAAGATTACTGTAGGTACCAATATTTTAAATACACAGATGCTTTTCATGTTCAAGTCATAAATACAACCCAGTTTGAGAATCCTGTACTTAAAAAAATGAGACAAAATAATGTACACACAGGATTGTGTGTAAGGAATGACCTAACTCAACATTTTTTGACAATATGGGATAATCCGAGCCTACATTTTATCTCACTGTAACTGTTATAAATGGGTTTAAACTCTAGCTTTCCAATATTTTCTATATTTACTATTGTTATTCTGGATATTCCTGCTATCTTACTTAAACCTTTTCTCTGCTCAAATTTCACTTCTCTCTTCAAACCTTTCTAATTCTTGGCTTGACAATGCAGTGTTAAAATGTGCATCACAAATTAACCACGTACTGTGAGCAAAGTGGTTTTTGTCTCATTTGATTCTGTCAATTTATGACTTCATTAACTGATGAGGACTTTCTCATTTTTAATTATGATACATAGAGACAGGTGTGACCTGATCCCAATTTTTATTATTAGTTTTTATTTTTTACTACTTTTAGCTATCTTTTGCCATTTTCCTCTTGAGATTTTTTGCACAACAGATTTGAGGGAACAAATCTGATTTGCTTTCTGAAGTAAACATTTTCCTTTTTAAAATCCCTCCTTGGATGTTTTCCATGCTTTTGCATACAATCTTTTGAAATTTGATAAGCAGTGTTTGATACTTTCTCGTTAGAATTCTGTATTACTTTCCTTCCCCTACTTATATGCTCAAATTTATTGATTTTGGATGAACACACTATCTGTAAGGATGACCAGAGTTGACTAGACTTGATTTAGTCAATTAAGAACTTAGGATAAGTATCTCAGTGTTTTTTCTCTAATATTGTGGTTGCTATTTATGAGCTTACAATTTCTCTTGCTATCACACTTACCCATTCACCCAACTGACGAGAACTTTCTGAATATCTCCATAATCCTTTTGGATTTGAATAAACTAAATATTTAGTGCCACTTGAAAGTTTTGCCATCCCACATTTGTTTATGTTTCCCGACCACTTATTAATGTGTTAAGCACAAAACTTATTACAGAACTTTCATAAGCACCCCACTACTTTCATTTTGCTATAATGAACTTGCTCTTTTTCTTCTGTTTTCCATGGTTTGATCCATGGAGATATTTTGCTCCTTACTCTGTAACTACTTCATATCCTTGGTAGTTCCTGTGTGACAGTTTTTCAGCACATTTTCAAAATGTGTTTGTTGTGTTAATACTATTTTTTTAAAATCTGTTTTTGTAATTACATGTTCCAGGAATAACAATAGATTAGTTGAAACGTAATATCCTTTTCGTAAGTTTCCTGTTGTTTTTCTTTTAATGATGATTTCTGTCAATTATATTGTATACATTTGTGGTTTATTAGTCTGTATTTTCTGAATCCTTTATTTAAATTTGATAAAGTGCCAGCTGTGCTCAAAGCATGTAGTGGCAAAATTATTTTGTCTAGTATTTCAACTTTGGCTAGCACCTTTTGACTCCATAAAAAATCTCAAAATTATTCAGAAAACAGATTTTGTTTACATACAGAAATGTAATCAATGGAACTGAATAGGCTTGTGCATTAATTGCACTATCTAAATCAACTTTTAAAATTAATTTAGACTGGCTTATCAATTGAGTTCAACTTTGCTGTTATTCAAGTACAGTGTGAAATCAACCATCCCAATAAATTTTAAGATGCTCAGATCAAGGTCTTTTGTGCTGTAGGTGAGAACATCATTGTGTTTCATATTCATTCTCCACCTTCCTAGGCAGTTTTTCACAGCTATTCACTCAACACAGCTATCCTGTTGTTACAAAAATGAGTGTTCTTTCAGATCTTCTTCATGATTGATACTGTCAATATATATCTTCTAGATTTGTATTGCACATGTAGATATTCAATACTTTATAAAGCTGGATGGGTTTTATTTCGCATCTATTTCCAGAAATACAAAGTGAAGCTTTTATGAGATTATTTTCTCATGAAGTGCTTTACAATTTTTTTTTTTTTTTTGGTTACAAAATTTATCCTTTCAATATGGGAACACTTCTATGAAATGAAAATTTTAGTGCTCTGAAAATAATATAATGACTTTTCAGCTTCACTATCACAGAGGAAGGTCATCTACTATGAAACACTGCAAGAATTACTTGGTATGAGCTGTGCAGAATCATGAGATTACCTTTACACTTCAGAGTAGTTAAATGCCAGACAGTGAGTTAAAATCCTGAGGAAGGATAATTTGTTAAAAAAATAAACAACTTAAATTCTGCTTGTCCTTCTGCCCTGTATTCACTTAATGTTCTCAACACACTACAAGAACGTGTTTAGACAACAGACTTACATATAGTACTTGCACACTATTTTAGGTTTATGATATGTAGTAATTAGTGAGGTACTCAAGAATAAATCAAATAGAAAGGATTTAGCTATGTCTAAACTGAACAACACAATGTCTACATGTCTTTTTGTGCATTCCTCCAGATGCGTATATCTATTATTTTATTTACTACTCTAGGAAATTGACAGAAGATGCTTTCAAAAGATGTGGTGTAGAATGGATTCCATAAATCTTGTGGGAAGGACTAGAAGCTGTGCTTGTATTTGGCACATCTGAAGCAGCTGGAGCTGTGCACTGCTACTGCAAAATAAATTATTCATATTAAGCCTTTGACTGTGCAGCAAAGTAGTCAGCAAAGGAAAACAAGTGTCATGAACACAGTCTGAAGTGGAAGTTTCTCTTTCTGTTATAAAAATACAAAAATTATGGTGTGAATATTTAGAAGGCTTTGTATGAAAATTATTGATTCTATATATCTGAAAACCACTGATATGTTTAATATTTTCAAAAGCACCAGTCGGAGATGCCCTTGTGTATTGCTCTATTTAATCCTCTTCAGGAACAAAACTATAACACAAACTGCAACATTGAAGAAATATGTTAAAGGGAGAGGAGTATCCTGCTTATTTGAGTTTGGTTAATCTGAGTTTTCAGTTTATCCAAACTCAATGTACTTTTTGTTATAATAGACAAATTGAATTCTGTACAACTATTAATTTCTTTATGGGATATTTTAGACTGTAGCACTGTTGAACTATTCCGATGTTTCATTGCATCGCTAGGCTTGGATAGATTTATGAATAGACCCATCCCACAGAGCGTGCAGTTGGCACCTTTGCACACTGCAGACTGGGTGTATCAAGAAGGTATCTCCACTCTAATGTTCTAATGGCATGTATAAAATGCTTAAAACTTAATATAGTACCACTAACTTCAGTGGTACTGTTCATGTGAGTTAAGTAAAAGATATACTGAAAATTAACTGCTAGCATAAGCGTATTCTTAAATTCCCTTCACCATATTCCACAATAAAAGTAATATTTTTCTTAAATAAAGAAGGTTTGCTACCTTGACAACAGATACTAGGCAAATTTGTCACACGGTTTCACAAAACACACTTCAATAATTCTAAAAATACCTTCTTGTTTTCTGTATATTTCAATGGTAGCTTGCTTGTGTGAGCACTACAAACTCTACATAGGAGACTGCCTCCCTTATTAGTTTCAGAGTACACACAACCTAAGCTTGTTATTTAGATTTATTTCAAGGACTTGAGTTAAAAAGGGCTCTTTATCAAGTGAGTAGTGTTCCAATCTAATGCCCATTATGGTCAGTGGAAGTATTTCTATTTCCTTCTTCAAAGAGTGGTGGACAACAAAAAGATTAATTTTAACCTCATCATTGGTTGAAAACCGGTCTGAGATATCAGCAAGAAAAAGTGACCATATTGGGTGTAGTCAGTTTGGCCACACTGAGAACAGGTGTTCGTGCCAAAAAAAGCACTAGGACAAGTGGTTCCCTATGGCAGTGTCAGGAGGCTGGCACAGAGTGATGC